AATTAATTATTTTTTTTATAATTTCATTTGTTTATTTTTTATTATTATTTATATTTAATTTATTATATTTATAATTATTATTATTTATTAAATTATGATTAGTTACTCTCTAAAGATATAAATTAAGTTAATTAATTCTGTTTAATTTATATATATTTTAATTAGAAATTATTATTAATTTATTTATATTTTATATTTATTTCTTTCTTATAAATATAATCTATTTATTCTGTACTTTTATCTTCAGATCTGAATACTTTTAAACAATAAAAAAAACAATTATAAGTATAAAATTAAAACTGTTCATATTACATTTTATCTTGTTTATAATTATTAACAAAATAATCTTATAATTTTTTTCTTCTTCATGTCAATTATCTGATATATATGAATATCATAATCATATAAAAATTATTTATTATAGTATTTTAGTGAAGTTAATAAAGAGATTGATAAAAAATTGATAAAAAAATATATTAAAAAAGAAAGAAATACTATATTAAAAGTTATTAATCTTGTTATATATACAGATTAAATATTACTTTTTGAGGTGACTGTATAGTGATCTATCATAAATTACCAGATATTTAATAATATTCATTATCAATATAAATTTGTTATTAACTTAAAACTTGATTATTCTGATAATTACTATATCAATTTCAATAAATTTTGATTTATTTGTAAGATGAAAATAAATTATTTCATTTTGTTTATTAATATTTTGTTTGATAGCTATTACTAATTATAATTACTGCAACTTGACATAACATACTATTATTGAGATTTTTATATTTACTTTTATTAATTTGTAGCTACTTATTCTGAAGTATTTATCATAATTCTTTACAATTTTTAAATAATAATTTATATATTTGAACTTGTCTTTCTAATTCATTTTATAAATATTATATAAGATTCAAGTCAGAACTCTGGATGGATCATGAAATACTACTTATATTATTTTCTATCTTCTATTTTTTAGTTTTGTTTGCTATTTTTCTAAAAAACATAATTCTCCTTATTATCTAGAGTATTTAGGAATAATAACAAATAATTTTCTAACATATCTATATATACATTAACTGTCACTCTCCCCTCCAATCTAACTAATGAATCAAGATCATTTTTTGTGAAACAACTTCATATCTTTATTCCTTTTTGACCTGATTTAAATATTAGAATAAGACACTCAACATCATATTTTTCATGAGATTGTCTTCAAACATACTTCTTACCATCTTCTCTGAATAATTCAAATCTAGATTCATTGCTTCAAATAATGATTTCTCATTCTTTTTCCTATATTTGCCATTTCTAAATCCAGAGAAGTCTCTTTTGCCAATTAATTTTATTCATAAGTGGTTTTTTAGTTCCAATCTGATCATAGAAACCTTGTTTATATAAGTAATATTGAATATTAATCATACTTACATTAGTTATGATAGAGATAACAAAGTTTTTGCATAGTTATTGAAGATTTATGCATCAATTTTCTTTAAGAATTCTTTGTAAATAATGATTATCTCTTTCTGTCATTATATGTGATCTGCCACTTTGAGGAGAGAGTTTTTCACAATTAGAACTTTGGTAAACAGAAATAATGTCCTGTACAGTACTTTTTGACTGATTTAATGTTTCAGCAATTTTTCATACACTGATTTCACACTTCCAAGCACCAACAATTTCTCTATGCTCAAGAATGGAGAGCTCTTTTCGTTTGGTAATTTTGTTCATTAATTCAAAACTTTTAGAAGATATAATTTAGCGTGTTGCAAAGTCGAAGTAAAGTAAATTCAAGGAAAAAAAAGAATAATAAAATCAACAAAGTCAAATCTAATCCAAATAAACAGTATTATTTGTAAAACGACTGGGGATCACATGATGTCCGGTGACTTTTGATAGGCCACTGTACATGTAGTTCATTATGCGTATTACATGTATATCATGTATATACTATCGCTATGCGCATATGCGTACTATGTGCATAATTCGCATAGTACGCATAGTGATGTACTATGCGCGCATTTGCCCATCTCCCATTCAAGCACTTTTCCCAAAGGTCAATTTCATTCAAATTTAGATCGTCACGTCTAAGTAAAGAAATAAGAGCTGATTCGCGTAATTGGTAAAATCACTTGATTGAAAATAGCGCTGGATTTTGACATGCGATATCTGTGCAAAATTTGTGAAACTTGATAAAAGAGTGATGCTCGAATGCGATTCGATTAACGATGGCAAAACTCCCTACCAAACAATCAATGGTTTTCGAGAAGATAGCTTTGAATATATTCGATTAGATCCTCAAGAATCATCTCATCAGCTAATTCCAAAGCGTCGAAGCACTGACCTTTAAATCGATTTTTCCACTGTAAATATATCTATTAAACAATCAGCCAAATTTTTATTATTCCTTTATTGAATAGTATTGTTTCATTTTTTAGAAGTAATTCAAAAACTCGAGGTTCGATGCTCGGTTTCTTAAAAATAATCATTTTATTTGGTTCGCGCTTTACCCAAGTGCTAACCGCAAAATAATGCGATTGCGCATCAAGATTGCTGAATAAGCACGTAGAATACTTTTATTCTCACCAACAATAATAGAAATATCACAATAACTGGAATTTTTATAAGATTCATCAAATCTGTTTGAGTGCAAAGTTAATAACAAGTCTGGTGTCATTTTTAATTTTAATAATAATTGTTATCTTTTTTCGGTGAAAAAAGAAAGTTAAATACCATATTTTCGATCAAAGACCAGTCTGATTTATACAGGGGGTGGAAAGAAATATTGGACGTTTCGCATGTTTTTAAATTGATTTATATCTTTATATATAGTGACGATCTATAACCAAAACAAATCTCATCTTCGTACGATGCATCCAGGAGTTATAAAGCTATGTGCAATTTCCTCTCAAAAAATCGCCCTTTAAATTTTACCGCATAATGTGCCATGGAAAATAGTTAACAGAAAGTCAGAAAGGTGGAATTATTATTGCAAAAAAATCTGGCCACACAAATACTGAGATCTCTAAGGTTGTAGGTTGTTCTGTGATCCATGTGTTAGAAGCACATTCAAGGCTTCAGTAACCCGAAACAAAAATTCTCGCCATCAAACTCTTTTCCAGGTCATACAAAGTATTAGAATCATTATATAAATATCTGAATCATTCTATAAATAAATAAATATCAGAACCTTCTATAATTAAAAATAAATTTCTTTCACCCCCCCTTCCCTGTGGATGATCTAATTGTTTTTTAGACAATTTTTTAAGCTCGTATGCTTTTAACATGTGGATCACAGAACAATCTACAGACTTAGAGATCTTGGTATGTGTGTGGCCAAGTTTTTTTGCAATAATAATTTCACCTTTCTGACTTTCTGTTAATTCTTTTCCACGGCACATTATGCAGTAAAATTTAAAGGGCAATTTTTGAGAGGAAATTGCACGTAGCTTTATAACTCCTGGATACGAAGATGAGATTTGTTTTGGTTATAGATCGTCACTATATGTAAAGATATAAATCAATTCAAAAACGTGCGAAACGTCCAATATTTCTTTCCACCCCTTGTACATGCACATGTCAGTCGATGTATCGAAATTACGTAAAGGTAACCTTGATTCCCAAAGTATACTAAATGTATTTGAATCCAAAGTTCGATGATATTTTATCTTTTTGGTAAATACAGTTAAATACATGCATATTTTTATTTTATTGTTCGTTTTTTTAATGTTTTAAATGGTTGCATTTAAATAATTATTTTCTTTGAAATCTTGCATATCCGAGACGCTTATTATGTATGATTCACGATTCTTTAAAAGATAAGGCATTTTGTCATTTTCGTCGGCCAAACCAGACTTTCTTTCCAGAATTGCAAGCTTCTTTTAACAATTACGAACAGAACAAGGGCTGAGAATTTTTCGGGTCATTATGTACAAAGTTTCAAAATTTCGATTCCAAAAATGTATTTTTTTTAAAGCACAAATCATTACATATTTTTTATGTGCTACTCTAATATTATCGAATGATAATATTCGCATTATTCTATTAATTGAAAGTGTTTAGTAAGATCGATTTTCTTAATTAAAAATTTTATTCATATGAGATATTAGGTCATTTAGCACATTTTGCACATGTGCATACATATCTTTACGCTTGACATGGTGACAAAAAAAAATTACAAGTAACTCTTACAGATCATCCTTGTATGCTAGTGGTGGGTTGACCAATTAAAACCAATTTCCATCAATGGAACTTATGAAAAATTTTATCAATATCGATATCGATATCGATATTCTAGCACTAGAGGAATAAATTTGAACGATCTAAATTCGCAAGCCATGTCATAAATCTGTTTGCATCACAAAAGAAAAATAATTAATGAAAATGATATCAAATGCAATTTTACAGTACTTCATATGAAATCTTTCGAGATATGATATGGTTTTAGTAATACATATAAAAAATTATATATATATATAAGTCATTTTATGTATATGATGTTATTCTACTTATGCACGTATATTAAAATTACACATGTTGTTTTATCTTGATGGAGAATATTGTTCAAGAATAAATTTCAAATATATTTTTGTGAATTATGTATTAGGCGAAATTATGTTTGTTATGATAAGACAATTATGTTCTTATTCCAATAATGTCAACATCCCGTGTTTGAGTAATTGCTCAATTTTAATTAAAAACTGGGAGATTCTTCAAATATCATTAGCGATAAAGCCGGAAATATACTATTAAGAACCAATCTAAAGCTCAAGTTTCTCAATACATGTACAAATTTCTCGTTGCTGATATTTTTTGCGTCATCCCACCACCATAATTTAGTGGGTTATCGTTATTATCTTCTTACTAGGTAAAGATATTATTTGATCGGAGTGATGGTGCATTACGTGTATTACGAATTGCTGTATTCAGAACATAAATTCATGTGTAAACACCATAACGATAACGATAAACATTTTGTTCTGCTGCGCTAAAAAATGTCAAATTTAAAAATTGCTTTAGCGGATCTCGAAAATCAATTAATCCTCTCGCACTCAAAACTTGAATCCATTATTGATAATTTTGTCTCATGTTTTCTCAAAGGACTAACAACAAGAAGTATTCAAAGCGAAGCAAATGATGAAAATGAAAAATTGATGACTCAAACCATGTTGCCTTCATTTATTTGCCGTCTGCCAACTGGAAACGAGAGAGGGACTTCTTATGCAATGGATATTGGTGGGACAAATTTAAGAGTTGCTGCGGTGACATTTCTTGGCGAGGGACGAACAGAAGTCAGACAAAAACATTTTATTATCGCTGAAGAATTGAAAACCAGCGGGGTTGAAAAACTGCTTGAATGGGTTGCTGAGAGAGTTCAAGAGTCAATTATTGTAGATGGAATCCTTAAAATGGGTGTTACATTTAGTTTTCCAATAGAGTGAGTCTCAAAGGAAATATTTTTTTTTTGAAATTGAAATATTAAATATAAAAATTCATTTTATTATTATCCATTCAGACAACAAACGATTAGTAAAGGAGTTGTGATGAAAATGGGAAAAGGATTCAATGTACCAGGCTTACAAAATCATGACGTTACTGAATTGTTGAATTCAACGTTCAAGAAAAAGGTAATTAATTTGCTATCAACAAAAGGTTTACACAACATAAATACTAAACTAAAAAAATCATAAAAGAATTTAAATATCGAAATAGTCGCAATCGTGAATGACACCGTTGGTACATTAGCAGCTCAAGCATACAAAGACCCAAATACCAAAATAGCATTAATTTTCGGTACTGGAACAAATGCAGCCTGCGTGGTTCCAGTCGACATGGTCACCAAACTTGATTCAACCACTAAACGAAACAAAAAGGACGAAGACGATGCTGTTACGCTCATTAACACCGAATGGAGTCTATTAGGTCATAGCTTTTTACCGTTCACCAAATATGATTACATCCTTGATGAACAAAGCGATAAACCTAACTTTCAACCATATGAGAAAATGATTAGTGTTAATTATTTAGGGGAGTTAGTTCGGTTGACATTATTTGATTATATTCGAAAATTTGGATTATTTGGCGGTAGGGAAGCGGAATCGTTGTCGCGACCTTATTCACTTAAACCAGAATTACTTTCAAGAATTCAAAGGTATGATGATAAGAATTTTATGTTATCATTTTCCTATTAATACTAAATTTTATTAAAAAAATAACAGCGAGAAAGATACCAAAAAAGTATACACAATATTACAAGATGAACTTAAATTCTCGCAACAGCAACTAGAAAATCCGGACGACATTCTTGTCTTTCAGAAAATAATCCATTGTTTCGTTACACGTGGATCACAATTAGCAGCCTCCGGCATAGCAGCTCTACTCAAACTCTTATACGGCGATTATTCAAACATTAAATCAAACGTCACGTTAGCCGTCGATGGATCCTTTTATCTAAAGTATCATGAATTTTCAGATGGAATCGATAATTATTTATTTTCGATTTTGGGTAATAATAATAGAAAATACGTCAAATTGGCAGGTGTGGAGAATGGTGGATCTATTGGTGCTGCTATCGTTGCAATACTTTATTCCAAATAGATTTACATCCAGTTGAATTTTAAGTTTTTTTAAATAAATATTAATATAGTAAGAACTACATGTATATTTTTTAAGGAAATTGATTTCGCAATTTGGAAAAATATTACTAATAAAGAACATAAATTCAAAATTTTTGTTTCAATTTTTTGAACGTTAGATTCTAACACTGCATGCATGCACATGTATCGTATCAAATGACCTTACACATGATTACATTGTGTTCATTTTTAATAATGCATAACTTTACGATAAATAAAGGAACTCCCGATTCCCCTTTTTTCACAAGCAAGTATCTATATATTTCAGCACTGAAATACATGCATAAAAATTATGTCCAACTTCTTGATAACATTTTCCACGGATATATATCAACTTTTAGCAGATTCCGAAGAATATAATGTCTTAATAGAGGCGGGTGATAAATCTGAAGGCGATTTCAAAGTTTTCTATGCACATTCGATAATTCTACGAGCTCGCTGTTCGTATTTCAAGACGGGATTATCAAATGAATGGGCGAGAAAAGAAGGACAGGTGACCATTTTCCAGAAGCCAAATATTTCGCCCAAAGTTTTTAGTATCATATTAAAGTAAGAATGATATATTTTTTTTCAACGTTAATTTTTTAAGAGAAACGTACACTAAATACAAAATAATTTGGTAGATTTATATATAGTGGAACAATATCGTTGGAAAATGAGGATATTCCAACAATTCTCGATTTACTAGTAGCAGCGGACGAACTACTAATAAACGAAATTTCAGATTTCGTACAAGATCATCTACTAGAACACGAATCCGCATGGCTAAAATCAAACCTAGTTCTTCTCTGGTCAAAAATACATCCATACGCATCGTGCAGAAAACTTCAAGAACGGTGCTTAGCTCTAATATGCAAAGACCCACTCGTTCTTTTCGGCAGCCAGGATTTTTTATTTCTTGACGGATCATTATTAGTGCCTTTTTTGAAGCTCGATAATTTGCAAATGGAGGAAGTTGAGCTTTGGGATTTTGTGTTGAAGTGGGGATTGGCGAAGAATCCGCGAACCGGGCCGGACGTAAGTTTATGGACAAAGGAAGATTTCAGAGATATGGAAGCTACGTTGCGTGAGTGCATACCGTTGATTGATTTCACGCATATTTCTTCGAGGAATTTTTATGATCATGTTTGGCCATATAGGGCTTTACTTCCGGAGTCGACTCTTGAGGAAATAATTCGGTAAAATTTTAATAGGAATAGCATTCTCAGTTAGCAACCAATATTTTCGCATTTGTTTATTGTCTTTTATATTTAGATATAATTTTAAACCTGAAACATGTACACAAGGTGTCACTCTTGCTCGTCGTCTTCAATTTGACTCTTGTCTTATACGCCCAGTTCATGCAGCAATGTTAGCCAGCTGGGTAGATCGACTCGGACAACGACGATACTTGTATGAAGAAATACCCTATAGATTCCAACTTTTATTAAGGTACTAGCATTATAAATTCATCTTATTGATATCTTTTAGTTTGGAATACTTAAAAAATGGTAAATAACAATAGAGGAACACGAGATGGCTTCGATTCGCATACATTCCACAAACTATGCGACGACCACAGCCGCACAATAGTAATAATGCGCATCAAAGGAAGCAATGAAATAATCGGTGGCTACAGTCCAACAAGATGGATGACCAACGAAGGATACTGGAACACCGAAGACAGTTTTCTCTTCTCGTTCGGTTTACGTGGCGCAATTGAAGATGCTCGTTTAAGTCGCGTTTCAAAGTCTCGTTCATATTACGCGATAAGACTGAACGGGAGTGAGCATGGACCGTGTTTCGGAGATAAGGATTTAACGATGCGTGGAAAATTTGATGAGGAGGGAAGTTGTTCATGTCAAAAAGATGACTATATGGAGAGTGTTACGAATGTTGGGTCGTTTGCTGTCAGTGAATACGAAGTATTTCATGTAGTTAGAAAAATGAATTGAAAAAATTTAGAAGATAGGAAAGAACATTTGGTTTTTTTTATTCATCATTTTTTTTTATTATTTCTTAATATTGATAATTAATACATGTATTTTCAAGAACAATATATAAATTACGCATTCTACTAGAAAGGCAAAGAAATAAAATTGCAATAAATGCGATTTATAGCAGTCGAATTTCTACTACACAATTTTTCTAAATAGTACCGGTACGTACATATTAATTTTTGATGGTACATGTATTAGTATCAGAAAACGAAATGTTTATTTTTACCACGTTATAATGCTACATGTACATATATTTTGGAAATTTTAGAAATGATTTTGTTTTTCGAATGCAGTTTGCCATCGAAATCTTCAAAAATTTCTAACAGAAGGTGATTCCATTCAACAAATGGAAATGAAACTAATTGGAATATGACAAACAATAACATTGATCATAGTCCAATTGCTTATAGAACCAATCTTGATTTTACTGCCGAAAGTGGCTATTAGAAAGGATTCAAATTTCGGTATTACATGCACATGTATTATTGTAAATTTGTTGATAACGATCTTTCCAATTGCTATCTGAAGAGGGAAAATTAAAAATTAAAAAAGTATAACGTTAAATAATACAATACATTACAGTAATTTATTATGGTTTTTTTTGCATAACGTATTGATGAATCAAATTATGTGAAAAATCATAATAAATTATTTTATCTCTTTCATCCCAACCAATGTCAAGCGGCAACCGGCAACACAATGCGCATGATACAATCAGGCAAACCTGACAATATGCCATGGTCAAATTTTTCATTTAATGCAAAAAAAATAAAAAGGTTCATTTGGTCTTGTTAAAGGTTTGTTTATTTTTAATCATACAATTATGGCAATAATCAGACTCTAATTTGTTCATTCATTAGCACAATAAACATGACTTTGTTTACGGATTGGCATGATAAACATTACTTGTTCACGCGTTGACATGGTATCAATAGAAAACATCAGCAAGCACTTTCTAGTGACATTAATGTTATGAATCAAAATAAATTACATAATCCTAATACAAAAAGACATCATTGTCTGTAATAAAAAATCCCACTATCGCTATTGTGATTTTTTTATTCTTAACAAGCTATTTTTTTTAAATAAAAAAACAAACATTCTTTAGCCAAAGACAACATTGTATTGAACGTTTATATTTTATAAAACATATTTGTTGTGGAAAATGTTTACAGAGTAAGCCGGAAAGATAATCGAGTTGTAAGCTCACGAGAAGCAATAAGATTATGACTTGAATGAACTTTTGATGATGCTGGGCTTTAAAAACTTATTCAAGGGCGTTGCCGGCTTGCTCAGCTTTTTGGCGGCAATCATGGCATATCTTCTGGTCACAAGTTTGTCTTATCCTTTCAAAAATAAATCCTCCTACGACTTATTAAAAAAACTCTAAACGCCTGATTCATACGATGGCAAAATTCGCAGTTGGTGGTCAGATCATATGGTCTACATTGCTGGTTGGATTGAAACCTTCTGGCTTCAATATCATGGATATAATTTTGTCCGCACACTTAAAAAGAGATTAATGGGTGGGAATAATTTATAATATGTATTCATTGATATTTTTTATTAATATTGTTATTAAATCTTGCCTCATTCATTTCAAGTCAAACGAGCAAATTTATCACTGAACCGCAAATCAAACATTTATATAAATCATCGTCGTGCCTTCTTTTCTAAAGTGAGGATTTTTGGTACCAAAAAAACATCACGGCGGATCAATTGATTTTGGCCGAGGAAGAGCAATTACAGGTAATCGATTTTGGGACTGATGCTCAACAGTCTTGGAAGAAAGATGCAACAATCGAAATCGATACTGTGACAACACGTTCATGTATTGATGTTGATAATGATAATTATTTGTCTTCTAGTAAGCACTATATTTAGTTAATCGAGTCTTTATTCTGTAAAACAACAAACTATATAATATTATCTATCATATATATTTAGCACAAATTTTGAAGATAGCGCAGATAAAAAGAAAAAGATCCTTGATCAAATCATTACATCAATGATTGAAAAGATCTGATGAAAGTGGCGAATCTTATTACTTTAGGAGATGCGAGCACTTTCAATATAGATGAGATGATTTGAATATAATGTCTTAAATCCGTACATATACAATAATGTGGGAACAAAATTATTGGAATTTTTTTTATGGAATAAAAATATGCATATTTTAACCAAAACAAGTCCAATCCGAACATTGTAAAATAGAATACGATTGTTAGGTAAATGACTATATTTTTCTTTTTTTGTACCACTAACATTAAGATTTTTTCCTCATTCCCCCCTTACTATTTTCAATTTTCTTAAAAAACATTTAAATTCATATCAATTAGAAACAATATCCTCCCAAAAAGAAATTAACCATCATGAAATTCTACAATTATAGAATCAGGGTATTCAGAATGTCAAAGAAATCCGTCAACGAACTGGAATTACCTTCATCACCATATATATGACAATCTTACCAAGCTTCAAAAGACCAGAACAATTCAGCGGGTAGAAGGAAGTGGTCATCTAAAAAAAAATTATGCCTAACAAATCAAGAGCATTAGCCCAATTCATCTGCCGGTATTCTTCTATTTCAACAAGGATTTCATCAGCAAGGTTGTCTTCAACAGGATTGGATGTGTCTTATAGGACAATAAGCAGGCATTTGGCTAATATTGGATATCAAAAAGATCTTCTGAGAGTAATACCGATACTGACTGAAAATCATAAGCTTAAACAGGTAGAATGGGCCCAAAACCACCTTAATGATGATTGGAACAATATCTTGTTTACAGACAAAACTGCCTTTCAACCATTCTGTATTACTATAGAATGCTGGCATAAAGGAGAATGGTCAGTACATCCTATGCCTAAGGACCAAACTAAAATCTTTGCATGAAGAGGATTCTGTATAAAGAGAAAAACCAGTTTGTATTATTTTTCTGAAATAATGGATGCTGAATTTTACATCAATATCCTCCATAGACACCTTTCAGAAATTGAAGACTTATTGGGAGATGAATGGCACTTTCAGCAGGATAATGATCCAAAGCACACCAGCCAGCTTACTAAAAACTTTCTTAGGAATAATCTTCCTGAAGTTATTGACTGGCCCTTCTAACAGTCTGGACTTAAATCTGTTTGGAATATTGTTAAAAGGAACGTGGAAAAAAAATGCCAAAAAATACTAATGATTTACGGCATTTTATGATTCAGGAATGGAATGATATTCCAGAATCAACCCTAATTGGGTTAGTAGGATCAATGAAACAGAGCTTATTATAGAAAATAATGGCGACCGAATTCCGTACTAAAAAAAATATTAATAAATTAAGCTGATAATAATTTATAAATTTTATAAAATTTTGATTCATTTGTTGTTGCATAATGTGCAATTAAAAATTGGTTTTTTTGTCCCACACTGTAAATCGCCTGTCATTATTGAACTAGCGCGTTTAGTTGACGTTTACTTATAATAAATTCTGCATGTACATGTTCTAGACTACAATAAAAATCGGTTATTCTCGCTATTTTTGGAAGAAATAGTCTGGTCTAATTTCATTGGACACTACCAGATGGAGAATTTGCAGAATCTAATATCAATATCGATATAGTTTGTGTGATTTAATAAATCTGAGAAATATTTTGCGTACAAACCTTATTAAAAAGTGTTCATAAATCCGTAATAATTGCTGTCAGTTAGGTCCTTTGATCCGGAAAAGGCATCATAATTAGAAATTATCAAAGGTTAAGCATAAATAAGCATCGTAATAATTAATTGTTAACGAGCAAGAATTTGCTACGACAGCAAAAAGAGAAGAGATGGCAGATAACGCAGTACAACTTTGGTCAATGAATTACGGCTGCTCATCCAACTAATGCGTGCCCAAGGTAATGTAAAACTATATCCAGTCTTCAACGGTACAAGCCACGAAGTCCCGATGACTTGGCTCGCCGAATTCAACAATGTAGCACGATCAAATGGACTTAATAACGCGGGAAAAGTGGCATGTGTAGTCACCTACTTACAAGGAGCCGTCGGAACATGGTTTGACAAACGCAAAGCAAATAATGACGCCTGGCCAACCCTCAATTCCACGCATCAAACGATATTCGTAGATATCAGCACAGGCAATTGAAACTAACCGATGATCATAGTCTAATTCCCTAATCCTTGTTACAAGCAAAAATTTTTGAATTCACGTAGCAAACAAATCGATAATATCATTAAGAGAACCTTGAAAAATTTATAATTTTAGGACGCGATATCAATGTCCAACAGTCTAATATGGTCAGAAATAGGATAATTCGATTCGTCTAAATAAACTCATCGAATGGTCCTATTTTGTCCAAATTGGACTGTTGGACGTCGAGCTATCGCGTTCTGAAGTTACCAAACTTTTGAGCATCATAAGGCATTTTCGGAGAATTTGCAAAACTAGACGACATGTATAATAAAACTGATCAATTTGGAAAACCCGATTCAAAGAGATGAAGAAAGGATATACGAGAAAGCTGATGCATAAATCTATTTTGGATTATTAATTGAAAATGTTGGAGGCAATCTTACGTATAATGCTGTTGTTTTCTCACCAAATTTCTTACTTATTCGTAATGAAATTCAGGTTCAAAATTAAAAAAAAATTGAATTTTGTCCGGTTTTGAATCGATCAAGGCTGCCCGTCAAAGCACGTCAATGACTCCCGCAATCGTCGTCAAATTTACAAGGCTCGTCATATTTACGATCTCCTTTATGACCACCAATAGTACAGCGTTTTAGCAGGATTCTTTTACTGTGAGGAGAGGATGAAACTATCGCCGAATATATGATGCAAATGATAATAGTAAACCAGAGAACAGATTTCATGGTTAAGTTAGGCTTTGATATAAATAGAGAAACATATACATGTACAAGTATCGGTATATACATGTACATGTATATACACACCCTGACAAAAGTTATCCGGCAACTGGAATCAACAAACTTTAAACATCGATTGTAGAACACCTATGCATCCAATTCTACTATACTTTTTTTATTGAATGCGCCTATTTTCTAGCTTTAGAAATAAAAATTTTATTCATGGATTTTCGGAGATGTTTAGAGTGCCTATACCTATCTGCGCAATCATCTACCCAAATTCTTGATCTTTTTTCTTATTAATTCATCTTGATTTCTACTTCCAGAAAATAAATTTTTTAGCTCTTTTTAAAAGAATCATTTTTAATATTCCTTAAAAGATTAGAACTTACAGATTTTGAATGTGGAAAAATTGTTAGCTTATGAAAAGACAAAAAAACAATAAGTAAAATCAGTAAAATATTAAGACATATATTTCATAGTTGATAATGCAATAAAACACAAAAAATTAAGGTGAAAAAGTTCAACATAACATTCTGATAGATCTGAAATATTAGTGACAATGTAATATATATGCACGAACAAATCGATCTATGGCACATTAATGAAAAATTATCTAAAAAATGTAAATATATTATTAAATAGAGCGGGTTTTGCTGATTCTAATCATATAAATTTTATTTAAAATTAATATGTGAATTCTCATAAAAATATCAGTTGAAGTTAGTAAATACAAAATTAATCAATTTCATTTAAATGAAAATTACAGATTTCTAGTGGACTAATTTTAAATAAAAATATATATTCTGAAAACTTAGAATTTGAATGTTTTTAATAAAATTAATTATAAAATTTGAATCAATGGTTGTGCTATAATCGCGTTTGTCCGGATACGGTGGTATAAACATGTACATGTATACACATTAGATTTATCGATCTTTACAGTAAAATGAATGGTTTTTTTGATTATTTTCTTTTTTCCGCAAATACTCTTTCTGATTGTGAATATCAACTACTTGTCATAAGAAATGAATATTCTGCACATTACCACACTATTAATATTTTAACTAAACGACATTGAATATTTTTTATTCGTATTATCGGATATGACTATTTGAACTAAAATAAATTACATGTGCTAAACATTTATTGACATCTGATCAATATTTCTGGCTTGTCTTATAAGCCATGACAAAGATTGGAGTAGACTAATGATTTACATGGTTATGTGAATCTTTCACGAAAATTGTGAAATCATTAATAAAAAATAAAACTAACAAAAGTAATAATCAATTGCATGTACTAACAAAATATAACTTCAATTCAAATATCAAAAATAACTATAAAATTTGCTAACAAAACTCTAATAATATTTATTCCAATAAAAACTACTAAAAATTAGTTTCTTTCAAACCAAAAAATGGAATAACAATATCATATCAAACTCAGATAACCGAATAATTCAATAAAAAGAATCAAACGCGATTCATCAATGGCCAACAAAAAAAATAAAAATATCAATTTCGTTATGACACAAATGAAATAAAAGTGAGATGTAATTTGGTTTAAAATAATTTTACTATTTAGTTATTTTCTTCAAAACATTGTCTGACTTTCTGACCTTTGAGCGCTATCCTTTATATACAATTTGGTCATTATATAACTATCTAGATTACAGATTATTAATACAAAGTATGAAGTTTTGTGCGAAACAGCATTAATATTGACATTAGAAGGTAAGAATTTTTGTATAAGTTTCGCAGGCTTTTGTCAGAGAAATAATTATTTTTCAGATTTAGTAATCAAGAATTTCTCATTGCGATGGTAACAATAATGTAATTTCATCATGGAACTAAACTTACTGATCATATATTTTATCCTGTTTTCTTTAATTCTATCAGATTTCTATCCTTTATTCTATCTTTTCCAATATGATAATGCTTTCGATTGCATGTGAAACCCTCTTTATTATGTAATCCTTAAATGTATATTCCCTGTGAAAAGATTTTATTAGGCTGCAATCGTTTGTAATCTGTATTGATGTATGTAAAAACCTGTATTCTATAATCTGTAATCTGTTTTTATTATAATTATATTAGAAATTTATCACTGTTGATTATATAATACAACATGAGCAAAATTTGTCTGTTGTGTTTTGTATTAGAGATGGCAAATGCATAAAATCAACTATATAATATTTATATAATAAATTATATATTGAAATACAATATTAATTAGTAATTATATATGATTCAAAATTTTAATATAGTATATAAATAATAAAAAATTGTCTGATTATTTAGATATATCTTCTTTATAATTTGTAATCAAAGTACTTTGCAAAATTATTATGAATTATACTTTTATTGATAAAATTTATTATAAAAAACAAGTCAAATTCAACAAATTATTGAGCTTATATTATTAAAAATAGTATTTAGCAATTTTATTATTTTATTATAAGTAAAGTTATTCATTATATTACAAAAAATAATTTTATAAATTGTAATATAATTCTGATTTTTTTATTAACTAGCTAATAAAGATATAAATTTGTTTATTTTATTATTTATTTTTAGATTTTAATAATTATAGTATTTTTAATAAGATGATATATTAATATATTTTTAAATAATTTTATTCTTTATATTAAAAAATATATTTGCAAATTTTTATTTATTTTATATTATATAATATAATAATTAGAGGATAGAAAAAAATTAAATAATAATATCAATTTAGTATTCTATTTATAATGCTATTACTAAACTAAAATAGTATAAAATAAAATTAATTCTAAATTTATTTATAAATCTTTTAAGTATTATAAAATCTCAAAGACTCAAATAATTTAGAAATTAATTTAATCTTTGATTAAATTAAAGAATAAATAATAATTATATATTTTATAATAATGAAGAGAAAAATAATAATGAAATAAATTTTAGAATTATTAATAATAATATTCTTAAAAAGATAATAAATAAGTATTATATAGTTGTAATTAATAAATTTTAAATTATAACTAATTATATTTTAATAAAAAATAATAATTACTAAGTATTATAGTAAATAAAAATAAAAAAAGTTATTAAAAAATAAAATATTCTTTTATTTGAATAATAAAAATAATAATAAAGAAAGTTATTAAAAAGAAGAAACTAAATTTATCAAGAAAATAATAATAATAATAACTATTATAAATAAATATATATTAATTATAAAAATATATAAATCTAAATTTTAATTATTAATAAATAATTTTTTATTCTTTTTTTAATATATTTATATTAATTTATAAAAATAAATTTTAAATTTGTTCTTAAATAACTTTTATTTATTTAATTAAATAGAAAAAAATAAGTAAATAAAAGATTTTAAAGTTAAAAAAGTTTTAATAAAAAAGCTTAAATTAATTATTAATTAATTAATATATTATTTTTTTTGAATTAAATATCTAATTAATATAATATCTTTTTTAATAAAAAGAAATTAATTAATATATTATCTTTTTTAATATAAAAACTTAATAATATAATAGAATTATAATTATAATTAAATTAATTAAATAATTTATAAAGATATAAAATATTTTATTACTTGAATAAGAATTATATATAATTAATTTTTATTAAATATATAAATATTAATTATAATTATATCATTAATAATATATTTTTAAATCTATATTAAAGAATAAAAAATCTTGAAATAATATATTAAAATAAAAGAATATGATAAAATTTATAAGTTTATACAGAAAAATAATTTTTAGCTATATATTTATTCTTTTATATAATAAATTATAATTTATAGAAAAAATATACAGAAAAAAACTTTATATAATATTATTAATTAATAAAACAGAATTATAAATATTAATATTAATAAAATTTTTAGAATTACCAGAATTATCAAAATAATAATAATATTATAAGTTAATATAAAAAGATTTATATTTCAGATAAATATTAATAGATTATTTTTTCAAAAAAAATTTTAATTCTATCTTATTTAATTAAGTTATTAGATATTGAAATTTATTTAAATATAAAAATTTTTATTATATA